CCGCAGGTGGAGGCCGGGGGGCGACGGTTCCGGGCCTTCGGCCTGTGGGGAGGATACTGACCCGAGGACACCGCGGCCAAGCCCAGTAGCACCGCACAGAGCAGCAGCGTCAGCCGGACCCGGAACTGCATCCTGTTCTTGCGGCCCGCTGCCACCCTCTGGAGTTGTCTGTCGCCTTTGATTCTGCCACCACCAACTCAGCCGCCGCTGCCGCCGCCGCCGCCTCACCGCCGCTCTTCCTGCTCCAGTTTCCTCCCTCCTCGCCTTCCCAGGCCTCCCTGATTCAGAGACCAGCCAATCCTCGTTCGCCGCCGAGGGCCACTCGCCCAATAGACGTGGTAGTCCCTCCCACCTCCTTGTCCCACCCCGATGTTATCCATTGGCCAATCATTGTGCGAGGTTCCCACACCAGCTTTCCCGGTTGGACCACGGCCTCACCGACCTGGCCCCTGATAATTGGTAACGCCTGAATCTGAGCTTGAGTCCTGGGCTGAGGGGAGGGAGACTCACTCGGAACTACAATCCCCACAATGCATTTCATGTAATGCACTGGGCGTTTGCTCTTGGGAACTGTAGTCCATTGTAGAGCAAGCTTTATAATTGTAGGTGGCATCTGGGCTACACGTGAAGGCTATGAACTTACAGCCTTTTGTTGTTTTGATTTTGATTTTAAGATGCAAGAATATATTATTGTTAGATTTCCCTCTGCTCTTTTACCTAACAATTACAAGGTTAAGAACTAAGATGAAAGAATATATTATTGTTAGATTTCCCTCTGCTCTTTTACCTAACAATTACAAGGTTAAGAACTAGTAACGTGTGCAGCATCTTTTCCTACTTGTTTTATTTAGAAAATTTAAAATGCAAGTTAGACAAAATTTTCACTATTTTAACTTAGACTTAAAAGATTTAGATATTTTAAAATAACTAACATAAACAGTGCCGTGGTATACAAAAGCCAGGGCGCAACTACCTGTTCTTTGTTTCCCAGTCAAAAACAAAAGGAAATAAATTGTACCCAGACTAGATGATCTCACTGCTAGTATTCATTTTTAATTAAGGTCATCTGATAATCATCTGGTAAATGTGGCAACAGCTTTTGCAAACCTCTTTCAAACACTTGTCCTCAAGCCTCTTCCTTGTCAATTACCCTATTGTCTTCCTTGACCAGCCCTCAAAGCTAGGCTGATATTTGTAGAGGTACAGGGGACAGTGATGGCGCTGGAGAAACAGAGATACTTTCTGTGATAAGCACCATTCAGGTATATTCCTCCTGGGCAGCAGGGCAACGACTTCTTTCATCAAATTGTGTCATCCTGCTTTCCCAAGTGCACACCTCGGATCAGCTCTAGGCCCTTGGGCCCAGCCAGATCTCCTTCAGGCCTTCGAAAAAGCCCACCCTGACTCTGAGGACTTCATATCTCGACACTGTGGGTCATTTGTCTTCCATGTTCTTTGAGAAAGAGCCTTTTTGTCAGGAATAAGGCAAAAACCTGACTGCTGTTTTTCACTCACATCACAGAGGATGAAGGAAAGATACTGTCTTACAGAGAAATTCTCTTTTCCTCTGTACCCACCTTGGCTCTTATCTCCGTTTATGCCACTACCAGTGTTTCTTCAGAGTTCCTCTGATTTTAAATCATGGAGTAAAACCTGGTTTATTTTCCTTCCTTTTTCATCTTACTGATCATCAGTTCCTAGCAGTTCAAACCATGTAATTATTTTTTGATTTTCTTATATTATTTGCCTTTTTTCTCTCTTACTTCCTTAACACCCCACATTTTTCCCTTCCCTAGATAATGCACCCCAGTTGTGCTGTACTCACTGACACCATCCACTTTCACGCTAAATCATACGTAATGGGCATAGTAATTTTCCTTGGACACCCCTTTACATACTTATTCAAGAGATTTCAGTGAGTTCTCCCCCCATAGAATAAAAAATGGGAACTTCCTCTACTCAGGAAATAGGAACACATATCAGCATTTCCCTTTTGGGGAAGGACTGTTCCAGACATGTCTGCCTTCCACCCTAGAATCTATGATTATCTGATTAATGAGATGGGAAAAGTTCTCTGCTTATTTAAGGCCCAACTTCTCTCTTCATTTTTGTCTTCTAATAGTCAAGGCCCTGTGTAGGGTGCTGCACAGACTTATTTGCACTTCTTTTTAAATACTTTACAGATTTGCCCTGTAGCACAATCCTGCCTGTCCCTGAGCTCTCCTACCCTCTCCCAACCACTCCTGTTTCTTTGCCGTAGCAGCCCTGGCATTCTTCCCAATTTTGCTTGCATTTCTTCTCAGCTGAGATTTCTCCTCATTAATCTTGATTTCTTAGTATCTGCTAAACATTTACAGTCTTGCCTTTTAGAGAGTTTATAGACTTACTGAGGCCAGAAACAGTGATACAGATCTGTGTATGGGTCTAGAGCACAGAAATGGCCCCCAATAGCCCTAGATAATTATTGTTGATTGAAAGACATAGCTTACTTGCCTATTACAATTTTCAAAAGAGAAATTCAGGGAAAAAGCACTTTCTGCATTGTGCAGTGTTTACAGAGATTATTATTTTTTGTTGATTGCTTGTAAAGGATAGAAATCAGTTTTATCTCCTTAATTTGAAAGGGTTTAGAGCTTCTAGGGCTTCTAGAGCTTTTGTCACTAGCCAGCAGTAAGTGTTCTGAGAATGCTCATAGGACCCTGACTTTCTGAGGAATGTTTCAGATCTCCAAAGCAGGTTCAAAATATGGTATGGGAACATCAGTTTCATTTGGTCAGCCTGCTACACTGCATGATGTTTAATTAGAAAAAGAGATTGTGAGTTCTCCGTGGCCTTATTTAGTCTGAGCATATACTCCTCAAGGTCCCCTGCCAAACTTTCCAGTTAAAATTATGTACTCTGTGGGTACAAAATGTTAATGTTGTCATTTATCAATTCATAGACTTTAATATTTGCTCAGCTGCACTAACTCTATGGAGTCTATCTACATTGGTGATTTAAGTCATTCTCAAAGATTTGCAAGTTGTGGGAAACCTGTTAGCTCTCCTTTCTGACACAGCTTAGGACCTGACTGGGGAGGTCATGGTGCCTTTCTATGCAGATGACATTTGTGTAACCTCATTTCCTTGAGGCAAATCAAGCAAGAAGCAAATATTGGGGCCTCCTGAAAGCTGTTGAGCACACAGACCCAGCCTGATTTCCACTTACAGTTGGTGAGACAACTCCCAGAGACTCTTCCTAAGAATGGAGTGATTGCCACTAACGAGGGCGCTAGTCCCTTCCTGCATGGTTCTTAGGGATCTGTCTGAGTTGGTACTGTGTACAGGCTGCCAGCATCTGTATCAAGGTATGTGCCAGGGAAGGCTGAAGCAGAGAGCAGTAGGGTATTTTCCCTCTAGGGCTAAGGAAAGAATGTATTTTTTTAAAAAATAGATGGGCCAGGCGTGGTGGCGCATGCCTGTAATCCCAGGATCGCTGTGAGTTCGAGACCAGCCTGGACTACATAGTAAGTTCCAGGTCAGTCTCAACTACACAGTGAGACCCTGTCTCAAACCACGCGCCCCCAAAAATAAAAAAAAATAAAAATAAAAAAAGATGATGTGAATTCAAG